TTTAACACTAGAAAACACGTCCTGGTCGCTTCCCTCGCATAAATTCTCATTAAATCTGACAGTAGGCGGGGTCGAAAGCGGTCATAAACGCTGCGATCGAGGGGAGAGGAGGGGGCGAAAAGGACGAATAGCGGGCTGACTACGGTCCACGGGAGCAATGTGTTGGTTCCCACCACTCTTAGCTACTTGTGATAGCTTTAGAGTACGTCTAATAGATTATCATTTAGTTGGACTGTCTTCACTCCCCTCTCCCTCCGTTCGTTAGTTCCATATCCACAAGCCGAGTGAAGCCGACTGAAAATAAAATTTAGCGTATGAAGTAGCACGGTCCAGCATGTGTGTAGCGCGTACTATACATTTGTGTGAGCACCGTTCAAACCTCGAAATACAGCAAGGTCTATTTTAGTGGTTGGTTGAGTTAGCGGCAGAAGATTATACGCAAGCGAAATGACTTCATAATCGCAGGAGTGAACTGTAATCACTCTTTTCGAAACATATGACTGGGGATTTAAATTGCCTACAAATTCCCGCGCTAAAAGTGTCTGGAATAAACATTTGGAACATGTTAGCGAGGTGGCCATGGAGGCAGAAAGAAACATGCGTAAGAGATGTAGTCAAAATTTACTTAATCAGAAACCACATAAATGAAATTTTACCTATCAGATTTCTGTTGAAGGGCATAGTAAAGAGCATTTCTGTAAAAATGATAAAAGCAAGCATTGAAGGCTGACCTGGGGGCAGAGTACTTAACCATAAGTAAAGTTGGGTGACGATAAGCATTCACACATTTTCACTAGTGCACACAGATAAAACTTTACAACCAGGAATATTCAAATAAGGTGGCTGAATGAAGGCAAACTGGAAAAGACAATAATCCTATTGCTTTTAAAATAAAATGTAAGTTCCAAAACAGAGGATCTTTTCAAGGCATGAAGAAGGTCCAAAATTGGGCTGACACAAGACAATTTTCTGCAGTGGTTTACGACTTAAATTTACTATCCTTATAATTCATATGACTTAGACCCACCAATTTACCAGCTTTCTAATTGGTAGCAGGTCGTTTTCGCCAATATAAAGAGAGTCATTTCACAATTTCTTATTGAAATCTCTCACGTAACTTTAATGGATTTGTTAAAATAGAGCCCAATATAGCCTGCTCGTTTAAATTGAACTGACCTTGATTATTTTGTTGCGCAGACGCATTCCATTGAAAAGCTTAATGGCTTTTCTGGCATCTTCGGCATCCACAAAGTTGACGAATCCGTATCCCAGACTCTGACCTGTAAAAGTAGAAATCCAGTCAGTAGTCAGTGCAACATTGTTAAACGAACAAAAAACCACTCTCCAGCATTGCTTGCCCATTGCTTTCCCATTAGCAACTCTTCTACCCAAGCAATAAGAATGACCATTTAGTATGTACTGTTATGTACTAAGAAACAAGAATATGAATGTACAAGGCATCAGAAATCATCCCAGGCATCTGGCTACGAATCAAGTCAATTTGTTTATTTTTCGGCATGGTTTTCCTTTGTGTTTGGCGTAGGTTCACATTCAGATGTTATTTTATGGCCTATCGACCGGAATCGCAGACTTAAATCCAGGCATTTTACACAATGAAACTGGCATAGGCAACAAAGTTGGCTTGTTTGCGCCTTAAATGCGGGGAGTGTTGCCGTCTCTTCACAATATATCGCTTTTCAGCCAATCAGCTCAGCAGAGGGTCCGCAGGCTCAGGTTTGGTTTTCGATTTATAAGAGCATGGAAATACTACAAACGAAAGTGCATCTACCAAAAAAAAAAACTGAATTTGCCGTCGGCAGTGAACTGTGTTGAACAAAGCCTACAGCGTAACTTTATATATATATATATATATATATATATAT